TGGGATATCCAGGGTGATCCAGTGTATGTGAACAGTGAGATGTTTGGGCGCTGAAGTCGCCATAGCCAATTGAGAGTGAACTCGTATCTGAAAGCCATATCTCTGAGTTTTGAGTGGGCGCATGTCGCCAGTATGCTGCGTTGCTGTTTACATGCGTGAAAAGTGTGTTTGAAAACGAGTCTGATTGCAATGGTCTGAATTTGCAATTAATGCTTCCACTAGTCTTCTAACCATGGTTATACCTCGCTATCGCCACTGCCGATAGTACTCTAACCGTGGTTGGAATTTCCTATCGCTGCTACCAGTAGTCTTCTGACCATTATACTTTGCTATTGCTGTTGCCATTAGTAGGGGGGAATTTGTAATTGCTTCTACCGGTAGTCTGCTAACTGTGGCTATACTTCGCTATTGATACTGCGATTAGTAGTCTAACCATTTGTTGTTATGATTGGCTAAACACTTATGATTTGCTATTGATGCTGCCATGAGTAGTCTAAACCATTTCTTCTTAACACTGTTATGATTTGCTACGAGTGGAGGTTTCCTGGCCACTGGGGAGGTCAGGCACGCACCACCGAGCTGCCCCCCAGGCCCCCCTGTTTGGATTCACGGGTGGGAGGCTGAGCTGATCCTCGGATTCTCTCTCTGAACTGTGTTCTATGCTTGTCGGTGATAAGCAACCGGAATGCTGCCCCCCAGAATAGATGGGGCCTTGTGTGTTTGGGGAAAAACAAAGGGAAAAAAACAAGGGTGAGAAGGCACAAGAGTATTCTGCATGGTGAAGATCAGATTGAAGAGAAATTTTCAAGTTAGGGTCGTCCAATCACAGGTTTTGCTTATCTACTTTAGCATTTCTCTGCTTGCTCGTCCAATCACAGCTGTTGTGGATCTAATTGCCTTTCAATCATTGCCCTATACCTTGATGGAGAGAAATAGCATTTTTACATGTGTCAGAAGGTCCAGGTGTGCCATTGCATGCTTGACCATGGTTAAGACAGACGTTGTGGCAGAATGAATGGATGCATCACGAGCTGGAAATAAAGACTATTTGGCATCTGCTATGTCACAAAGCGGGGAATGATGAAACGATGCCTGGTGACCCAGACAATGAAGGAACTTTTTTCAAGTGTTTTTTTTTTTTTTTGTTTTTTTTTTTTCTGGAACCCTTTCTTGATTTGTGTGCCTGTGTTTTGTCAATTTCTCTATCCATAACTCCACATGAATATGCCGGACTGGTTCATGGGCCTTTCACCCACTCATCAGGAGTTTGAACCCTACCCTGAGAGAAGTGGTTGAGTTCACTCACACCAACCCTGCAATCCCAGCAGACTGTCGTGTGTGTGTGTGTCTGTATGGGCATGTGTGGGCGTGTGTCTTGTGTGGGCGTGCGAGTGCGTGTGAGTGCGTGTGTGTGTGTGTGTGTGTGTGTGTGTGTGTGTGTGTGTGTGAGAGAGAGAGAGAGAGAGAGAGAGAGAGAGAGAGAGAGAGAGAGAGAGATGTACAGGGGCCATGGTAGCTTTCTGTGTGTTGTTCCATTCTTAACAGACGTTCTCAGCTGATGAGAATAAGGTAGCTACTAAAAGGTTGTGCTAAATTAGAAAAGACAACAAGAATAAGGCAGCTATGCCAGCTAAGTCTTTCAAGTCCCTAGAATCTTGCTTTGCACTCTCCTCCTTTTCTTTCCTCCTGGCAGAGGAACGAACTGCAAGGAGGGGCACAAACGGAGCATAGGCAGCTCCGCAAGGCAAGGCAACGCAGTGCACTTCCTCCAGTATGAAAAAAAAAAGACGAAAAGAAATGGAACAATCGCTTCTTTCTTTTTCTTTCTTCATGTGGCCGATGGACCGCGGATCAGATATTAAACTGCCCAGAACAGACAATACACTCGATCTGTCTTAACCAAAAGGGCCAGGAGACACACTTCTGAAATGATCCCTAGTGCAATTTGAATCGAACTCCAAGAATGAGGAGCCCCTTCTAATAAGGCAACAGGAGCATACTAAATTCCTGTACCAACCTTCTGAACCAAGCCGTGGGTTCCAGCTCGATACGTCCAGGCTTTTAGTACTAATTGATGAAATTATAAGTAAGGAGTGCTATACTCGGCCCTGCCAAATAGGTTGTCTCGACTCTCGATTGTCAAATAAGGCATTTGTTGGGTAATCAGTGCTTTGTCAGCATATCAGGGTTGCAAGACAAACAGTTGACGATCATAGAAAATATTATGTCTATCATTTGCAACGCTGATGTAGCTTTTGGATGTTGGTGGGTCCTCCTTTCCCCCTTCCCTCTGTAGTTGAAATACTGAGTTTTTTTTTATGACTTTAAAGTTTAAATGTTTTAAACTTTAAACTTTTAAGTTGTATTAACATCCCAGCTCTACCCTTCTATCCGCGCTAGGGGTTAGACTCAACCCTGAGGGGATAGATGCAACCTTGAGTAGGTAGGCTGCTTTAACCCATAACCATGGTGCAAAGATGTGGATTGCCGGCTGATATTGTTCCGGGATGCTTGTGGGGTTCGTGGATAGAAGTAGTGGGAGGCTGAATTGAGAGAAGAAAATAGCGTAGTAAAAATACAACTGTCTCCCGTATACGAGGAGAAGACAGCTGTATTTAAGAAGAAAGAAAAAAAAAAAATCCCAGCTCTGAGGGCGTTTTCACACTTGCGCTTTCCTGGATTCCTTGATATCGCTGGCTAAGATTTCCAGATGCCATGCATGTGTTTTGCTGACATGACTTTCTGTCTTGTCTTCAGGTGACACTTGGCGGTGACGTACATGCTCTGACGCCTGTGGAGGCATCGAACGACAACATTTTGGTTTTCTCTGACCCAACTGCATTTCTGAATGCACTTTGGGTGCCTCATCAACGCGATCAGAAGAACATTGAGGACGTGACGAAGGACCATCCTCAAGTCAAAGCAATTTTTGCACATGCTGACGTGGTGAGTCACGCCGGCTTGTTCATCATATTATGATGGATGGTCCCTGTTTCGATCCATTGGCTGATCCCCCACCCCACCCCACGTAACACATACAAACGCACGGAGTTCTGTATAGCGAACATCACAACACACACTCTCTCTCAGAGTCATGCTTTTCTTGTGGTGCTATGTATCACGAACATGACAGCACATCTGCTCAAAGCCATGATGGAGATCAAAATGAGATATCGTAAGTTGAGAAAGTTAGAAAAACACAAAATTGAGTTAACTTTTTTGCTGTGCTGTGTGTTTTTGAGAGCAGTTTTGATACATATGAGTGGGATATTCTGTTCAGCTGCGTTGGCTTTTATTCTTTATTTTTATTATTATGTCTTTTCTAAGGGGGAACTGTGTTAGCTTCTGGAATCCCTTGATAGCTCATTCTGAAACCCTTGGTGACTTGGTTGCTGTGGGATCTCGTGTGGGGGCTTTGCCTTTTTTGGATTGCCTTTCGTGAAGTCTCGTCTGATGACGAGAATTATTGGTGGTGATTTCTGTGATGAAGAAACTGGAGTAAAACTGCAAAAGCATCTTCTACCTTCCTTCAAACTTGCAGCAGCTTTACTAAAATAGTAAAAAAATATCTTTCTTTTCCTTTTTTTTTTTTTTTTTTTTAGCCCAATGGCCCCATTTATTCTGGGGGGCAACAGTCCGGTTGCTTATCACTGGCAAGCATGTACATCCAAAGAAGGGGGGGGGAGATCAGACCAGAGAAGGAGAACGGTCTAACCCTTGTGGCCCTAGAAGCTCTTAGATTACCAAAAACATGCACGGGAGAGCTGCAAAAGGGGGTCCCCCCCCCCCAAACCATGGCCTTTCTCTGGGGGGGGCACTCTGCTGGCTGGGAGGCTTGTTAGCAGCACCCAGACATGCAGCAGGATGGCCCTCAGGGAGGCGAGGTGCGGGCCTCCCCTACAGTTCCTCAGGCCGCCTATCAAAACCCACACGTCAGTAAATTGTTGTTTTCCACCTTTGTCCACCTTAGTCCTACTCTCATCCCGTCCATCTTGTCCTGTTTACATCCCTCTTGTCCCTCACACCTTGGTCTTGGCTGACGCCGTGTCCCTTACTATCTCTATGTCCCTTGCTCCTATCTCAGCATCATTATCCATCCTAAGGATAGTAGTATGATCATCCCAGCGCATTCTAACCCCTATATCTTTTAATGTCTTTTGGTGTTCCTGTACTCTTTTTTAATGCTTTTTAAGCCTTTCCAACGTTTTGACCCCTTCCCCCGCGGCCCCTCCCTATCCGCCCTACCCTTCCCCTTTTCCTTTACCCCTCCTCACCCTCCTGTAATCCCCTCCCCCCTAATATTGTACAAGCTACCAACCAACTAACTAGTTCTACATTGCGGCTACCCCCCACCCCCCTAACCACTAAACATGTCGGCTGCTTTTCGTGGCTAATCTACTCCCTATTCAGATTCTTCCTCCATTTCTGCCCGGGGCCTTTGACGTAACAGCACATGACCAAACTGTATACGGCCGTCCGGGGGTCTTGGGCGAGCAGCTGCGGGTAGGAGCCCCATCTGGCCCAGAACCGTTCCTCCTTCCCTTCTCCTGTGTTCCTGATTCAGTGCCAGTCCGCCAGGAGAGCCACCCGAATATTCTCCAGCGCCCTGTCCTGGTATGCCTGCAGCGGGGGAGAGGTGCCCTGTCTACAGCGCTCGTTCCTCAGTGTCCACAAGGCCCACAACACCGCCGCCCTCAGACTTTCGGCAGCGATCAGATCCTCCGGTTGTCCACTTTCATCAGTGTCCCCAATAGGGTAGCAGCGTCGTCCTCCTCTGTGGCCTCAAGCAGGGATTTGTCCGCTAGCTCTTGTGCCCACTTCTCCCAGAAGGCCTGCACTATCGAACACCGTACAAACAGGTGGGGCACCGTTTCCACTTGTCCACAGCCGGCTGCACATCTCTGATCCTTGTGTCGGCTCTTAGTTGCCATCCACTGCGCTGTGGGGATCGCTAGATGGTACAGCTGCCATCGCTGTGGGGATCGCTAGATAGTACAGCTGCCATAGCAGACCCGCCTGTTTCTGGTCTGGCAGGCCTGCCAGAGTGCACATGCTCATTCCACCTTCGTTGTGTCCATCTGCCAAAGTAGGCATCAGGGATCCAGTTCCTTTTGGCCCACCGAGTCCTCAGCTCCTCACAGATGTTCACTGGTTCCAGTAGAGAATTATAGATGTTCTTTGTAGTAAGATTCTGGAGCAGCACATCTTTCCTTTGCATTCTCTGTATCGGCCATTCCCATTCTCTCGGATCCCATGTCAGATCCCGCCGCCTGGATGTGATACAAAAGGGTAAGTATTGTCCCCCCCACCTTATTCCCTCCCTCACATACCCCCACCATTTCGATTCTATTCCTATCCATACTTTTCTGGGGCCTCCCTTCCCCCACCCCGTCCTCCTGCATGGGTACCCCGTGCTCACGTGCAACTGGTGACCTGTGGCCTTCCGTCTACCAGCACCTGCTCCACCCTATATAATCTCTCCGGTTTAGTGTCTCCCAGCATCCTCATCCATTCCTTTGGGGTGATCTCGTCTTTCCTCAGCAACTCAGTCGACCGGGTGGAAATTGCCTCCCGGATGTAATGACCCGCCATAACACAGACTGAGAACACTGCTGATTTCTGAAGTTCTGCCGATGGAATGGATGCTTTGCTGAGATTCCCGCATTCTACTGAGTTCCTAAGTCTGTATGTGTGTGTGCTTGCCTGTCTGAGTGCTTGTCGGCATGAGTGTGTGTGTGACCCGCAAGGGTACTTGCTTGTTTGGGAGGCCCGTAGGGCCGGTACTTACCTGTGGCCGTGATATTGAGGGTTGCAGCAGGGAAAACACTCAAGTAGCGGAGCCAGGGGCCCACGGTACTTGGAGCAGCGGAAAAGCACTCAAGTAGCAGGTAGGCCGCTACCGCACCCAGTAGCAGTACTTGTGTCGGGTACTCGAGGCCGAGCAGAAGAAGACAAAGTTGGCATTTTTAGAGGCCCAGTAGCGGTAGGCTAGGTCTAGGCCGGTACCAGTCCATCCAGTCTGACTCTAGGGCCTGTACGGGCAATATCACAGTCTGCAATGATGTTTCCCTCCGAAAGGGAGGAGGTACCGGTTGCTTGGGAGGCCGAGCAGCCTGGAAGTCACCACCCAGGAGGCAAGTAGGCCGCTATATCAGGAGGCCGAGGAAAGAGCGCGGCCTCGTTCTTCAATGTGCAAGTTTGGCGACACGCTGCTCGAGCGCTGGCTGGAGGAGCACTGGCTACTACAGCACTGCTGGGAGGAAGAAGCCGGGAGCTTCCACCTTGGCTATGGTGGAGCTCTACTGGTAGGAGGAGGAGGGAGAAGAGGACCAAGGAGGAGAGTGGCGAGGTACCTACCTGGCTATGGTGGACACCATCTTGATCACCCTGATAGGCGCTGCATCTGGAAGGCCCCAGTTGGGGTAGTGCCGCACCAAGGAAGCTCGGGGCAGAGACAGGCATGGTGGCCTAATGAGCAGCGGCGTAGCTGCTTTGCGTTGTCCTTTGCACAGGAAGGCAGCGACGTAGCTGCTTTGGGTTGTCCTTTGGACAAGAGGGTTGAGCCCTCAGTAGTTCGCCATAGCCTCGACCTACATGTGAGAGGAAGGAGAATGGTGGCCATGGCTATGGTGGACCTCATGTTGTGCCTGCAGTAGAAGAGGGATTCGGACATTGATTCTGGTTCAGCCATTCAACATTATTATCGTTATTTCTTCTTTGAATAAGAGGGGAGGAGATAAGGAGGAGGAGATTGGTTGGCGAAGAAGAAGAGCATTATCTTTGGTCTATGCTGGAGTACATCATTTTCTTCTTCTTTCTTACTTCTTCTTCTTTTCTTTCCCTCTCTCTCCTCTTAAGTTCATTCATTTCTTTTTGCAATTGGACGGCATTGTACTTTCTGATGAATGTATACTTCAAAATTGGCCAGGATCGTAACATTGGTATCAGAGCGGATTCTACTTGCTGGCGAGAGTTGGCTTTGCCGCAATAACCCTAAGTGGTAAGGGCTAACCACTTAGGGTTAGGGCTGGAAGTTAGGGTTAAGTGCGGCAGCGTGGTGAAGGAAGCTGCTCCCACCTGGCAGGGCCGTGTAGGGTCGACATTAGACCCGGCCAGGTAGCTTGAGTGCATGTTTGTGGTGGCGAGACACAAGGTGGGACTTCGTGATGCAATTGGAGAGAGGCGACAGTGAAGGGCACCTGCAACTTGAATCTGGACTTCCAAGGAAGACGAGGAGTGACTTTAGGGCTCCCCTCAAGTTAGGCGAGCTTGAGGGTGGCAGCCTTATCTGCACTTGCAAACTGCAAGTTGCTACTTTGATCTTCAACATCGACGGGGGACCCTACGTTGTACTTTGGGGTAGATGTTGACCCTCCTAGATAATAGGACACTCGTGTAGAGGATGCTAATTGGGTCAGGAGGACTATGTGAGAGGGGGGTGAGTTTCTTTTCATCTCAAGAGCCCGACCACTCAAGTAAGTGTCGTGCTGCCAAGATGCCCATGTGTGTGTGCATGGAATTGACTGCCTGCTGGGGTATTCTGGGTTCTTCTTCCATCCTCCATAGTCTTGATCTTGTGTGAGGTGTGTGAAGTACTTACTCACCTGATGAGTGAATGAATGGAGTATCTTGTGTGTCGTGCTATATCTTTCTATAGTGCTTTGTTTGTTTCATTCTGAACGGCTGTAGTCTGTAGGTTCTTTCTGGGGCTAAATTTCTTTTTCAATTCGGTAGGGGCAGAGAGTAGGTCTTTGTGGAACTCTTGTTGGTTGGGACCCAGTTCTCACTCCACTGGGACCATTTGGGACTCGGTGGGACCGGGACCAAACAAGAAGGGCCCCTCTGGCCCAAATCTATTGACGTCACTCGGAGTTCATGCTTTCGGACCAGAACACTCGCTGCTGAGGGGATCTCAGCTGGGACGTTTTAACGGACTTTGTCGCACGATCCGCCGCCTGACTCGCACCTTGGACACCACTCAATTCTCACTTGCATTTCGCAGTACACTTTGAATTTGATTTGCTGTGTCTTCACGATGCTGAGTCCAGCTAGGCTTGAGAGGACCTCATACGTAGTCGGACCAGACTGTGTGGCGGGATCAGAACTCTCTCTTCTTTATTTTTTTGATTGTTTGACTGCTCTCCAATCCAAATGAGTTGCTGCTCCGGCTAGGAGTTCGACCTTCTCTTTTGATTGCTTTCAAGCTGTTTCTTTCATTGGGTTCGTTAAATGCTTGCGTCTACAGGATCGCAAACAAGAGAGAGAGAGAGAGAGAGAGAGAGAGAGAGAGAGAGAGAGAGAGAGAGAGAGAGAGAGAGAGAGAGAAACTGAGAGAAACTTCTGAGTGTTGCTCTTGAGGGGGTGAGGAGAGGGAAGAGGAGTGGTCGTCCCAGAAGTGTGAGGAAGTACGGACCTCTCTTGAAAGACTTATTGACACCCTCGTCCTCCATCATGGCATCTGCAGCAGAATGAAAATTGCAAATGGACGCTGCCCCCGAGGCAGAAAAATGCATTGAAGAGGGAAGAGGAAGAGAAGGAGAAGGAGAGGGGAGACAAAGTAAAGGCTCATGAAGCCGGCTTCAATACCGTGCCCGCCTTGACTGATGCTGAGGTGGAAGAGAAGACTGTCCCACTCCTCAGGGCCTTAGTAGAAGTCCGGGTTGTTGAAGACCATACTGGCCAACTCGCCAAGGTGTTTGATGAACTCAAGAAGTTGCGCAAGGATATGGCCCTGATGGCGCAGCAACACCGTGACCAGCTGCAACATTTTGCCAACATGCAGCCAACCCAAGGTATCCTTCCGCCTGCTTACCCTGCTTCTAGCACTGCGTGTCAGTCCGTTCTTGCCCCTCTAACTATATCTTCTTCTTCTTCTTCTTCTTCTCCTTCTTCTTCTTTGAGTGTGGTTAACAACCTATCCGGATTTGCAGCAGGTCCAGACCCCGCTGTTGCTATTGCTGCTGCTGCAGTAGCAAGTGGCAACACAGGGCTTTCCGGAACCGTTGCAGCCCCGAATTCGGACCCAGCTACCGCTGGTCCTAGTTGCAACTTTCCTTACATGGATAGAAAGGCGGCACATATTTCGTCTAAATACGACGGAAAGGACGACATTGAATCCTGGATCAGCTCTATGCGATCCTTCTTTGATGTGTCGGGGACACTCACGGTTACTCAGTTATCGGTTCTAGGGACCAATGTGGAACCCGCCGTAAGTTGTACAGTCAGGCTATGGAAGAATAGACCTGAAGAAATGGCTGAAGGCTACACCTGTAGCCACACTCGAAGAGCTCTTGATCGAGCAATATGCTAATCCGCATGCTGCAGCCAAAGTTAGACTCAAGCTTGACAAGCTCAAGCACAACAAGTGGACCGACTCCATGCATAGTCTACAACAGTACGTCAATAAACTCTTTGCTACTCCTGATTTGGAGATGACTGCGCAATCTTGCTTGCATGTGATTAAAGGCACGGTTCCCTCTACTGTAATACATCGCCTGGGGCTCAGACTCATAACCTATACAAATGGGCTCAAGACCTCTCGGGTGGATCGGGTGGCAAAAAGACCACCAGCCGCAGAGGGTTTCCGGGCAGCAACCGTTTTGCAGCGCACGATCAACTTGAGGTTGGCGAAAAACCTTCGCTGAGGACCCTTCTCTTGGTGACGATCAAGAGCAAGATGCCTCGCAGTCTTGCTCTTCGTCAGCCCATGAGTCTGATTATGTGGATAATGGTGAATCAATGAATGCCTTCAAAAACACTGCCTTCAAAAGTAAGCTACCGAGGAACATAGTGAAAAACAATACTAACATCATTCTCCTTCCCAAGGGAGCGAAGATTCCACCCAAACCGGAAGATCCTGCCACAAAACCATGGGTAGATCTTCGGATCAGTGAAAGTGAGTGGAAACACAGGGCGAAGAAAGGGGTCTGCCTGCAGTGTACTAAACCGGGACACTCAGTCCAACATTGCATCAGATTGCAGCAGGGAAACCAGCAAAGGGGGTAGAGCTATCATCAGCACACTCTACTGACGGGGAGGCTGAACAACAAACTGCAGTTCCTTCTTTGGATTCTGATCCTTCACCCTCTCCTAATCCCCCATCCAATGCTGATTACGAGGCTGAACATGTGCATGTTTTATACAAAGAGCCTTGGGAGGAGTTAGGAGAAGTCGACTTTCATACTCTCTTGTCGTGTTGGGCTCACATGAAGCAAGAACACGCGTAAGGGAAAATGAAGTTGATCTTTTTCAAACTCCGCATTAACGACCGTTACATCCGTGCGTTGTCTGATTGTGGCGCAACCGCCAACTACTTCTCACTGCACGTCATTCGTAAGGCACGCTTGGAAATGAAGCAAGTGACATTGCAAAATCCTTTTCGGACCCAAGTGGGCAACCAAAAGGTTGTCACATCTATGCATGCAACCAAAGGTGTGCGCACTACTCTTGATGCAGACCGCACAATCACGCATGAGTTGAACTTCTATGTCCTTAATAAGTGCTCTTTCGACGCGGTTATTGACTTGGGCTGGTTGCAGGCCCAATGTGAAAGAATCACGTCGAATGACTCACAATTCATGGTAAAAGATGCCATGGGAATCGAGCGTCCAGTCCTTTTGGATGAGCCGCATGAGTCCCAAGTGACTTTTCTCAATGCAATGAAATTCTGCAAAAAATGGCGCAGACACAAATTTTATGAGCAAATGTATATAGCCTTTGTTAGGTCTGCTCATGTGCCTTCTATTTTTGCTGTACATAATGATTCTACTTTGCATGTTGTTTCTACTTCTAATGCAACTACTTCTACCTCTACTAAATCGACTTCTAGTCCAAATGACTTCGCTTCAAATCCTGTTGTTTTGGCTACACCCATGCAATCCGGTATGCTTGCACCAGAATGTGATGATCCACCTCCAGAAATCCAATCAGAGATCCGCAGCCTTCTCAACCGATTTCTTGAAGTTCTTGTCGAACCGCATGGAGTCCCCGTGCACCCGGTCCAACACAAGATCGAGTTGATAGAAGGCAACACTCCTCCAAAAGGTTGTGTCTATCGAATGGGCTTAGGCGAATTGGGGGAGTTGCGAAGGCAGATCGATGACATGCTTGAGAAAGGTTGGATCAAGCCAAACGTATCTGAATTCAGTGCACCGGTTTTGATTGTCCCTAAGAAATAAGGCAAGCTACAAATGTGTATCGATTACCGGGACTGAACAGAATAACCAGAAAAAATGCATACCCTTTGCTACACATTGACGATCTGCTTGATGCTGCAGGTGGATGCAAGGTCTTCAACAAGATCTATCTCAAGTCTGGTTACCATGAGATTGAAGTCGACCCTGCAGACCAGCATAAAACTGCATTCAAAACTCGCGATGGGCTGGAACAATTTACCGTTATGCCCGTCGACCTCACAAATGCACCGACCACCTTCCAAATTCTCATGGACAAGGTGTTCTGCAATCATATCAATCGATTTGTTGTTGTTTATTTGAATGATATACTAATCTTCAACAAATCGATAGAGGAGCACATGAGACACCTTGAGGAAGTGTTGCAGATCCTTACGGATGCGCAACTCCATCTCAACTTGAGAAATTTGAGTTTGGGAGGGACATCGTCATCTACCTTGGACATCGGTTGTCTGCTGCAGGCCTAGAGCCCGGGGCAACCAAAGTTGAGGTCATTCGCAATTGGCCTCAACCAACAAATGTTCGTGAGTTGTATTCTTTATTTGGTCTTGTGTCGTACTGCCGTAAGTTTGTACCCAAATTCTCTATCATCGCCCGTCCGCTGTCCAAATTGACCAACAAGAACGTGTCTTACACGTGGGATGGGGAATGCACAACAACCTTCCAAGCCTTGAAGGAGGCTTTGGTAAGTTATCCGGTACTCCGCATTGCAGATCCCAAACTTGCATTCGTAGTAATTACAGATGCAAGCTTGTATGGGATTGGTGCAATGCTGCAACAAGATGATGGTGACGACTTACGTCCGCTTGAGTATTACAACAAACACATGCCAGTCACAAGGTAGCTGCCTCCACTTACATGCGAGAACTCTATGCCTTGAGAGAGGCACTAGATCATTGGAAACACTACCTCTTGGGTCCCCATTTCAAAGTGTTTTCAGACCACGAGATTTTGAAATGGATCCTGACACAGATTAATCCATCAACAACATTGACCCGCTGGATGCATGAGATTGATGTGTAAGCACAAGAAAGGTTGTTACAATCGCGTTGCGGATGCTTTGTCTCGCCATCTTGAGTACATAACTTGCCTTGTGGGTTCCTACGATCTCTGTAAGAATTTGAAGGAGGAACTCATCGAGCATACTGCCAAGGACCCGGAACTCAGTCCCATCCTTGAGCAGATTCAGGCTGATCCTAGCAGCCAGCCTGATTTCCACAAGTGTAAAGGTTTACTCTTCCGACGTTACGGGAAGTACGACCGACTGTGTGTACCCAACCATGAGCCTATCTGTACTCACTTCTTGGACTTGGCTCATGGCCGGAGTGGACACTTCGGTTTTGAAAAGACATATGGAACTGTATTGCAAACGTTTGTATGGCCTGGGATAAAAGAGTGGCACGAAAGTTTGTGGCTGAGTGTGAAGTTTGTCAACGCATCAAACCGTCTCGGCAAAAGCCCTATGGGCTGCTGCATCCTCTTCCTATTCTTGATGGCCCGGGTGAGTCTCTTTCCATTGACTTCACGAACATGGGAAAGAAGAGCAGGAACGATTATTCACAAGTAATGGTGATCGTTGACCGCTTTTCAAAGTTTCTGAATTTGATCCCATTACCACCTCACCCCGCAACTGACCTTGTGATC